TCAACGCACTTTAAATACATTTGCATGCACAGATTCTCCCACCCCCTTCCCTCCCCTCCCACTGGTAACTGACAAACAGAGGGAAAACAACAAATATATTCATAAAACATTTAAATTAAAAGAGTAATTGTTTTATAGTGACAGCATGTGCAGCAGGGTGTTCAGAGTGTCTTGGCTTGCAGACCACAGAGACAACCGCTCCACAGGACAGGGGGCAGGAACACCAGCTCCTGAGACAGAGTGGGGGAAGTAAAGGATGTTCTCAGATCAACAGGTTCCAGTCTTGATTTCAACACACTCTTGTGTGAACAGTCCCAGCAGACAAATAAGACAGGGAGTTACACACAACACTGCCCCAGTTTGGGGATTCTCAGCCTGTCAGGGTTAGTCACCTCTCAGGAACTCGTGTGATTTTAGTTACTCTTGGTTTGTTTTACTGTAAAGAAGCCCAAAAGCTCAGGGCTAGAAAGAAAAAACTCTCTGGTATGACTCAGTGCAGTTTGATGCCCAAAACAAATGGGGAGAGAACTATTAGGCAGCTAAACTTAGCAAACACCACTAGAGAGTATTCTACAGTTTAAATGCATGGCAGCACTGTTACAGCATGCTTGTCCTTCCCACAGAACATAGCTGGATTGATTTGTTTTTAGGTAGGGCTCATGTCCATGAAGCAGAAGGGCTTTTATTACACCTGGACGTGCTCATGGAATGAGACAATGCACTTGAGAAGGAGATAATCCATAAGAACCATCTCTACCTCAGTCACATATAGACCATATGAAGTCAAGCCTCCGCACACATCAGGCAAGGTTGCCCCTCTGCAGTGACCCCAGGAGAGCCATCCTGGGAGATGCACATCCTTTCCAGAGTCCTTCCTCAGCAAGTCACACCTTGGTCTCGTGCCAGCACTGCTCCCCTGAGACCATCTGTGCAATCCCCAGCACCTCCCAGCACATTCTTGCTCCCCTGAAATCATCCCAAACACCTACCCTACAAATCTTCCTTCACCACCAAGATTTCCCTTCTAACCCTAACCTTCCAGTCTGCTCCCACACCTTAGAGACTTTTCCACCAGCATCCCCTGGAGCTTCTTTTCAAAGAATGATCAAAGATTCAGACTACTCCATATAACTCCCAAGTCCATCTGCACAATAAGCTTCCTAGCACCAACTGGGATCAGTGGCAAACCCTTTCTGTCTACAGTAACCCCAGCTGTTCCATCATGGCAAATTGCTTCTCTGTTCAAGAGCTGCAGTTCAAGCTTGCACAGAGCTTTGAAATATTACTGATTCAAAAGAAACTCTGCAGGATAAAGCTGTAAGTGCATTTATTTGCACAAACAAAAAGCAGTGCCCTATTGAGGAGAGGGCCCCGAGAAGAACTCTTGATAAAATCACTCCTGGCAACTGATCAAACTCAACTTTCTCCAAAACCCTATAAAGCAAATAAACCCTGGAGCCTAAGTGTCTCCAGGGAATGGTAAAATTCATGGAATGCCCTCATGCCAAATGAGGCACCACATCTCTCTGTGGGTCTTGAGCCATTTTTAGTAAGATGTCCCAGTTTAATGAAATTAGTCTCTTCTTACCCCAGCTCTTACACTCTGGACCCACTGCACCTTGGGTTCCCAAGGAGGTCTTCTCCAGCCTCTCCTGATGATCACCTTACTCTTCCCTTTGTCTTGGTACCATCTTTGTTTATCCAGAAAGCTATATTTCAACAGCTAAACATTCTCCAGCTGGAATGAAAATGAGGATATGAATGGAGAGGTTAGGAAAAAATTATTTAACTTTCATTTTTCTAATGATCCCTGCCCTATGCAGTTTGGAAGACAGGTACTTTTCTCAAGAGTTAGAGCACTGCCAGGAGAAGGAAAGAGCATGCTTCATTGATGGAACCCTAAAGCTTTTTTTTTTCTTTTAAAAAAAGAAAGCCTTGAAATCACGATCCCTAGGAAACAAGAAATAAGGAGTCAAAAATTCTGTTCAAAAGGCTCATGCTCCCCCCAACAACTGCTTTGGAAACATCTTCTGAATGTCCATCTCAGACATACGTTTGCCAGAAGGCACATAGCATGTGGTGCAATTGCCATCCCTTCCTTCCTGTGACTACAGACTTCCAATTCTATATAAAACACGCTGCCTCCTTACCCCCACTGCACTTCCTCCTGCACACATCCCCCAGCCCCTTCACACATCCTCTTAATTTCAAATCTGGATCACTAATATTGAAAGGGACTAGACACACTTGGGGGGCATCTCAAACAGCAACAGAAAACCTAATTTCAAGACATCTGGAAACTCAGTAAGCTCACATGGTGATCTGTTTGGGCAGGAAAGTTTTCCAGAGGGACAATCCTAAGTTTGTTGCATCAACATAGATCAACTTGATTCTTGTGGCAACCACGCAAGAGGCTGTCATAATTGAGTGTGAAGAAGCTCAGGAAACAATAGAAAGCAACCAACCCACATCAGCTGTTGAAAGTCTGATGCAATGTGGCATAAAACATCCCTTTACAATGGCAACTAAAGCTCAATGGGAGACACTTCTGCACTCGTGTATGTTCCAGCACATGAGCGATGCTGGTATTTTCCCATACTTCCTTCCCTACTCTGCTTCTTTGTGGACCTAATTGTTATTGACATGAATACCGGATGTAATCTTGTGTTATTCTTAGAAACATTTCAGCTCCCAACTGAGGCCTGAAGAGATCAGACCCCCGTTTTCCTGACTGAGTTCCTCTGCCACTATTACAGGAGGTTAGAGGAACCATCCCACAAATAACCTACAGAAATATTCCACCCAGAAAGATCAAGAGTAACAAGATCCCAAGTCACCCTACAGAGGAACTACCTACGACGTCAGTCACAGGGAAATGGCTTAGTGTTTCTTAATGGTGCTGGAGTGATAATCCACTCCTCTGACGTTAGACTACGTGGAAGAGCCATGCCAAGAAAGCAGCAATTCAATTAAACTGTGAAGTCTATTGTTCTACAAACTTGCCTGTCTTTCTGCTAAGGATTGTGATGGCAAACCATCTTTTTATCCATCTCACAGTAAGCTTTGTGCTAGCCTGGAGCAGTTACATACTTGAACATGTTCAGCATTATAAACTACTCCCCACCTTCATGTAGGGAGATTGGCAAAAAAAAAATTCTCCTCAAATAAAACTGACTTTTCATTTTAATAGTTCACAATATTTAAAATAAACATGGAATAAGAACACACAAACCTAATGGGCTCTTCCTCAAATATAAAAATCCAGTTCCCCTTTCCTTTCTGAAAATGAGATTATTTGGCTTCTGAAATATTAGTGGACAGACATGAGGAGGAGCCAGGGTTGGAGGATGATACTTTTGATGTTTTCAGCTAGGGAATAAGCTTCAGATCCCTGGAATTACCAGACTTTTAGTTTTCCAGTAGGACCATTACTGCTTATCTCTCCAGAAGGCTGGTGGTATTGGACATGGATTATTTGTCTGGAAAACAAAGACCAGACAATCTTTAGGTAGAATTCAAACTGATGTGGCATTCTGCTGTCCTTGAGCTACCAGGCTTCATAAGTGATACAGAAAATTATCAAACTGCTGTGAAACACCTCTGCAACAAACCACATCAGTGCATACCCTTGCTGCAGCACAGATTTGCCTGTTCTCTTATACAGACAGACTACTTGCAGTTTCTAAACTGATCTCCACTACCACTGATGCCTTTCAGCTTCTCAAAGTAGTAGCATCTTCTAACCGGACAGACACAGTTCTGTTGGCCTCTGCACCACAGGGACACATCAGGTTTCACAGTAAAGCATATCAGGAAAAAACTGAAATCACAGGAGAAAAGGTGTTTAAATAGAGCTCATTGGAATTTAAAAAGTAAGTGTTAGGTGTGTGTTGTGTGTTCCTCCCTACACCAAGAAAGAAGAAAAAAATCCCACAGCCTTTTGAGTGAGGATGAAAACAATCAAAATATGGAAAATTAGCTCCCCTCACACACATTTAGGGCCATGGGAAGAATTTGCATTGTAGGAGTCCAGGAGGACAAGCACAGAGATAGAGGGAAAAAGCAGACAGTGCCCACCAGCCTACAGACAGCTCACACACCCGACAGCTCTTCACAACACCTTGGGGCACGACCGTCCCAGTGACACAGACCACAACCTGGCCTGCTTCTTTGCTATCTGCAGCACCAAGTCCTGCTAACAGCCCTTTTGCTAAGGGAAATCCATATTACAGTCTCCATTTTCATTACTTGTTAAACAAAGTGGAGAGCTATGAGGTTATATTTGCCTTGTGCCTCTGGAACATTGAGTGCTCAGGGAATGAATATGAGTTCTTGCCCATCTTTTATAACTTAATATAAAGTAACCTTATCAAGACAAGAAAAAAACCATTCGAGCAACCTGTTGCAATATAAGCTTTAAAAACATCAACTGAAAGACAAAATGCCATGGTTGAAGGTATCCAGAGTTCCCATCAGGTAAATTCCTTCCCTTTCCAAGCAGTTGCTTGCATCCTTCCTGACCAATAGATGTTGCTATCCCCCTTCCATTTGTTGCAGGGCCAAAGTACTAAAAGGCCCCTCCCTGTTGCTCTTTGCAATTCAGTGAATACTTCCAGCCATGCTTTTATTTCTGTCGGTAAAGACAGCAAAACCAACATACAACCACAGATACACAGTACAGCATAATGTCATGATATGCCCTGCATCAGCAGAGTCTCCCAGTGCTGAATTTGGAATGCCATCTTTGACCTCGGCACTGCTCTTGGTGACAGGTCATTGATGGGTAACATGTCCCTCCTTCCTTAGTCCGTTTCAGTGGTTTCTTGGCTTTTCTCCAGTCTAGTATTTAGGATCTTCCCAACAGTCCTGGGTAGGGACCCCTTTCTTCACAGCAATCTGAATACACACCTTTCCCCCCGCCCCCCAACCTCCCTTTCTGCCACGGCAGAGGTCACCAATGGGAAAAAAATAATTCTACCAGGAAGACTTTGAAAAGCTCATCAGGAAACATCAGCTGCTGCGAAGGCTGCTCTTTCTAGATCTGAGTAAGACACCTGGGCATCAATTAGCTCTTCACTGTGAAGCTCCCTATTCATGCATGCATCTGAGAGAATCCCATTTTTGCAGGAATGTGGGAGATGCCCGTTTGTCTCCACGTCCAGAGCATTTCCATTCTGGTGCCATTCCAAGCTGGCTTTACATTTGTTTAAGTCCTGCTTTTCAGACTCCCTGTGGATCTCTCCATTGGTGTATACCTCTAATGCATACTCACTGATTCGTATGCTGGCGTTCTCTGCGTCCCCACCATGCGTGGAAGTCCTAGAGCTGGCTGTTCCTGCTTTGAATGTCTCCTTCCTGCCCAGGATATGCTGGCTGATGATTTTGCGGAAGGTGTGTCGGAACTCCCTGATTCGGTAGGCATAAATTAGAGGATTTACAACTGAGTTGGCATGAGACAGGATAATAGCCAGATACATCAGCCAGAGGGGAGCATGGGCACAATTTGGGCAAAAAAGGGTAAAGCAGTTAATAATATGTAGTGGAAGCCAGCAGACTGCAAACAACCCAACAATGATGGCTAAAGACTTAGCTGCATGGACTTCCTTCTGCAAAGTGGAGCGAGAACGTTCCCCGTGTACCATCTTGTTCTCCATCTGCTTCAGCTGTCGTCGGGCTGCCATGAAGATTTTCAAGTAGATACCAAACATGAGGAGGAGGGGCAAGAGCACACAGGCAAAGAAGTTATAGTAGACCATGTACTCCATGGTGACCACAGACTCAAAGAGACATGCCACCATACTGTTGCTGCAGTTGATGGGAGAGGACTTATTGGAACCCCGCTCTTCGATCTGGGAGCGATTGTGCCACCCTAGCATTGGTGTCAAGCCGATGATGAAAGATAATACCCAGCAGATGGCAATGATACCTTTAGCTCGAGAGCCAGTCACCAAGCCATTGTACCTATAAAGTAGAGGAAATGGGAATTACATCAGTATCATTCAACAAGCCCCTGACACCCAAGCAACTTTCCAATGGCCCAATGGCCCAGAAGACAGCAACAAAGGCACCTGCTTCTTCAGATGGGTCTTTGAACTGCCGTGCAGAACCCATGCAGCACAGCACAGCAAGGACTCCATGATGACATTGTATGCCACCTATTTCCCTCCCCTTTCTTTTAGGCAGTGAATAGGTGACAGAAAAGCAGGGAAATTAATACAGTTTTCATCTGTGTTCATTCACTCCACCAGCCCACTTGGTCATGCAGATAGATCTTGCAGCCTGCTCTGACCCTTGGTGATGAAGACCACTGTGGCTCTCTTGCCGAAGGCTGAGGTAGTTCCTCCTTTCTGGCAAAGGAGCAGCCTTGTAGCACAGAATTGCTAGCTCCATCTTGCAGTAGATTTGTAAGCCAAATAGCGCAAAAGAACTCAGAGGCACAGTGCCATCGGCCCTGTGTCCACATTCAGGTGTGCTCCAGGGAAATTCTGCTGACTGAGTTGCAGAAGCCAGGCTGGCATTCCCTTGCACAGCACCTCACTCTGCTTCACAATGGCACTTACAAGAAAGCCAGCAGCACCAGCCTTCTTTAAGTAACTAAGACAAGTCAGCAGTTTTCTTCACCAGCTTGGCTAAGCTGACCCCATGTCTTTCTCAGAAAGGAGGAATTAAGCTGAGGACAGTGCTCCGACTACAGGTGTGCTGTGGGCTGCACTGCCCACACCAAAGGGACTTCAGTGGTGGAGGTATTGATAAGCCTGGCTGAAGCCAGTGCTCTAGCCGTAAATTCTCCAAGATCTGTTGAACAAGACAATAAGCAACATGGTAAGAACCTGATAGTACACCCAGGGACGTTTCTTTGTTTGAAATATCGGCCAGTTCTCAAGGCCTCACAGGTTACTGTGAGTCCTGAGCTGACTCTACCAGTTCTTCTCTCTGAAAATGTAAATCAGGGCAACAGTTTAACATTTCAATGCAATTTCCTTCCCTTTTTCATGCTTAGCATGGAAAGTAGGTGGCCGGATTCCCACATTGTCCAGCGTGGGTCCCACACTGTACTTGACCCCATGTGTCTGTAATCGGACAACGGTAGCGCTGGGCTCCCAGTGTTTACCCAATGCTCCTTCTCCCAGAATTCTCTCAGCAAACAAACGTTAAAAAAAATAATCCAAGAAGCCATAGAAATCTTTCCATCTCTCAATGAAATAGTTACTCCCACAGATTCATGTTCCTATCCCAATGCAAGGTCAAGACAGGGGAGGAGAGAGGCTGCTTTTGCCGGGCACAGTACAGAATGGAGATCCTGCATGTGCTTTAAATCCCTGCTAATGGGCCTTGGAAAAAACCTGGCTCCACACAAGACCTGGCAGGCTTGAGTCTCCTCAGTTGCATTTCAAAATCAGGAAAGAGAGAGTGGGTGAAGGAGCTAACCACACAATTACCAGTACCCAAAATACACTGAAATCCCTCCAGAAATGAGGGAGGGATTCAGCTGATTCTGAGAGATAAAAAGGTTTCTCCAGCAAGTAGTGGATCCTGCTCAATGCTTAGGGGATGCTGAGGGCACAGCATGGATGGTAGCAGGGAACTGCTCACACTCAGACCTCCTCAACACAGCAAAACAGCATCTGTGCTTTGAAAAGTACACTCAGGGAGCAAGAGATTGGCTGAAGGCACTTGAAGCTTGGAAAAACAAAAAACAAAACAAACCCCTTAAAACCCTGCAGCCCTGGAATTGGCTACGTCTTGTCAGAGGAATTTTGAAATTGCGCAGCTGTTATCCCACGACTAGCGATGTCCCTTCCCTTCCACTAAAAATATATTCATTACTGCTCTAGGCAAACACCCCCCTGCTTCTCCCTCCCTCTTACCCTCTGGGGATTCCCACGCAACAAACTTTACAAGGCTTAGGAACAGCACTTAACCCAAGCAGCCTCCTGCTTTCCAGCTGCAGTGTATTGTGCTGGCAGTGGCAATTACCAACCTATCGGTGAGTGCATTTCCATAACGCCTTGCTCAGTATCTCCAAGGGTTAAGAGAAAGCTCACAGCATCTTGTCACATAGTGTGTGGCACTACATCGGCCAGGTACCCATTGAGAAGTGTCCATTCACTTGGAAGAGCTTGACTTCTAGGACCCACATGAGACACCACAGGCTGACTTGGCTGACGTAGGGTTATTGTCCAGACAGACTTTCCCGGACTCATTCCTTTTTTCCACTGAGAGATGTCACCAGGCCGGCATTGAAGAGTGTGTGCACCTGTCTAGGCATCTTTCTAGGCTCACAGCAGCCAGGCCAAAGCTACTCTCTGTATCCCCAGTGCTGCACAGCTCTACATGGTAAGTTCAGGGCTTCCAGGAAGCATCACATATACTGTGTGAGTTGCTGGCACCTATGCAGGAGACACAGCCTGCTGAAAGGAGCTGGTCACACCTACAGCCCATGCTCTGCATACTTGGCGGGTGACTTTGTAGCATGTCTGATGTGTCCAGACAGCACTGGATTGTCTGTGCACAAGCAGTTCTCGTGCTTCCTGGAAATACTGAACTTGCTACACAAACAATGACTTCTACTCATGAAATTCCAGACACAAAGAACATTAGTGAAGAGCACAGGGATGCTCACAGTGGAGTTTGGTGTGGGGATAGGGGCACCAGACTCCTCCAGAAAACAAAACCCACTTTTGCAAACACAGGAAATTGTGGATGTTTTCCCCAAAATAATTTCACCTGCCCTGCTGCTCTCCCAACCATCAGGCTGGCAAACTGACTCCAAGGGAACAGCTGCCCTTGGTGAATGCACATCATCTGTGCCGCCTAAAGTAGTTTGGCTGAGGATGTGAAGCTTCTGGGTCCTTGGCCTCAGCTCTGTGTCATCGAGACAATGATTCCTGCAGAAAGTGTAGTACCTCACCAGTCTGATTCGTAAACTATGAAGCTGGGTGGAAGACAGAGCTGGTATAAGAACCACAGGGTCCTCAGGTAGAAGTTAAAATCTTTCCATACATTGTATGATATGTAGCTGGCCTAACTCATTGTCACAGCATCCAACCAGCCTGCTCTTTATCTTCCAAAACCACCTCTGGTTGACAGCACTGCGCACCTTGGCCAGATGGCTCTGCCATGCACGGAGCATGTTTCAGCCACCTTTACTGCATCACACCAGAAAGCCTGTGCTCAGTGCTGAGGGCACTGGGCTTTGATCTGAATTCCAGCTGTGCTCAATGGTTTTTAACAAATCACTACAAAACACTTCACTGAACAGAACCCTCAACAGCCCGCACCTTAGGCAGCTGCAGTCATAGGGGGCAAGACAAAAGGAAGATATTCTATCCCTATTACATGTATCTGGAAATGCGAGACACTGACAATCCCAGATCATCCAGGAAATCTTGTGGCAGAGCAAGAAACCAAACCCGGACCTTCTCATGCACCACCGAAATAACCCAGAACTCTCAGTCAAGAAACTTTCTCCCCTATTACCAGGTGCTAACTGATACTAATGCTTGTCTATGCGATGGAGACTGGGTAGGGTGGGATCCCACAGGTGGGCACAGGGCTCTAAACAGTAGAAGCAATAATGGTGGGCAGGCACCATTCTTTTGCTCGTGGCACAATCAGCTTCCAGACTAAAACCTTGGTAACAGCAAGTTCCACTGCCCATGAAGCCACAGACAACTGGCACTGCCTTCAAAGCCATGCCCGTGGTTGTTCAAAGGAGGAAGTGAATTATTCTTCTTTCATATTAGGTTGAATCTGCCCATAATCTATTTGACACAAACATGAGCACATGTAGGAAGTGCTTGTCATAAAGTCAAAAGGTTTATGGTGAGCAGGGAAAGAAGTAAGTCCGGATATGGCTCAAAGTGACAATAAAACATTAAATCCCTGATTCACCGATTCAGATGCTCATATATGAGCATTTGAGAAGGCAACCCTAGAGAATTAAAGCAACTGCTGAAACAATCTGTTCTCAGCACAAAGGTCCCTTCCATGTCCTAGACTTGATTCAGGGTTTGTGTTCATCTCCCCTATTCTTCCTACCCCAGACTTCGAGAAGCCAGTTCTTCATGTCCAGCTCACCTAGCCTTGGGCAGAAAAGCATCCCAATGCCACCTCAGAGCTGCAGTTTCAATCACCAGTACATGGGATAAATCTGTCCCAGTGTTCCAAGCGACAGGGAGCTGCACTTTAGTAATGCTTTCCCAGAGAAGCACCCCAGTAGCTTAGGCAATCATCTCCAAAGCAACTTTCATCAGAGGAAAAGGTCTGCACTTCAGCAAGTTACTGTAGTTGGCACTGTATGACGTCCATAAATATTTATGCCACAGGTGAATACCTGAATCCAGCACACACAGCAAGCAGTAGCCTGAGAAAACTTTTCCGTTTGGCTGCAGGAAGAAAAATTTCCCCTCTCCTTCCAGTGCATTGGAGCTACCTGTCCTTCACCATGGGTGTATCTTTACCACAAATGCCTGCACAAGAACACATGGCTGGGCACTGTGCCCGTGCAGCATTTGCTGGCACCAAAGAGCCTGGAAAGCGGCAATTGTTCTTGGCCGATGACTTCATCCTGGAGCTCAGACTTGCAGCCAGTTTTGTTTAGAACACCCAGGGGTTTTATATCAGCGAGCGCAGGTTTCAGGTACCTGCCATGTTAGAGACATAGTTCGGATTTTATCCTAGACCGAACAATGGCTCGGACTCACTTCCTTGGGAGTTCTTTATTGCCACTTGCAGAGTCTTACATTTGTATAAAGCCTGGCAGAAGTAAGCAAAATGTTTGAGAATTTTTGGAAAGTTTATCAAATTCTACACAATGTTTTAATCATCTGAAAGGTAGAACCCATAAGACATTCACAAATTGGTTTTTATATATTTTTAAATTTTACCTATAGATGTCTTTCCTCACTGGAATTTTTTTGGGGAAGGTCTTTTATCCACAGAAAAATCATTCGAAAGGTAACTCTAACTATGTACTGAGGTGTCCAAAACCAAGCAGTATCAGAAATCCCACTCTTCTGCCTCCTTAATACTGACAGTTTATTTGTGCGGGAATACACATCCACATGTGTATCCACTGAGACACGTGGTTACCTTCCTTAGGACAAATCAGACATGAAACAGTTAAAAAGAAAAAGAACAAGAAAAAATAGGTTTGGCCCTTTTCGGTTTCGCTAGAGTGAAGGAAGTCTGATTTATTATCTTTTTAAGAGCATTCATCTAATGAATATTAGGAATGCCTGGTGTTACCTTTCTTGTCCTCTGAGGAGGAGAGAAGAGGCTTTCCCAGGCATTAAAGGATGGGGTGAAAACGTTCCATCTTTAGTGGCAGAAGTTACCTTCCAGTTGTTTGATGCATTTTTGAGACAACCAGATATTAGAAAAAGAAAAAAAATGAGGATGTGAGCAGTCTGAATCATATCACATTTCCCTCTTCAGATAATCAGCTTTCACTTTCTCAGCATGTCTGAGGCTATAAATCTAATGCTTATTCATCCATAAATTCTTAAGGGGAAACACAATTGACTAGTTCTTTGCTCCTACTGTAACAGGACAAACCAGTAGAGGACAAGGAGGGGGATGAACCCATGGATCTACCTGCGGGTTTCTGCACCCAATCAACTCCACTGTTTTTGGGGTGGAAGAGGGTGTGCTCTGTTTTTTCAAAAACAAAATAGTGAAACCGGTACAGTGCCTAGCACTGATGAAGTCTGATTTTTCTAAAAGACTCTTCACCTTGACTATTCCAGGAGATTAAATTTTCAAGACAATATATTTTCAATGATACCTCCAAAAATGGGCAGAAATCCAGATTTTTAAAATCCTTTTCCTGGCAAGTCATCCTCTAGCTATAAGAGTACTTAAACTGTCAGGAAAAGTCTTCAGAGTTAGCTCATGAGAGATGAATTAAAGACCTTAGCTCTTCTCAAAATCATTTCAGAGGCAAGCTCCTGAGGGCTACTCTAGATATGTCTCTTTGTACCATTTATCATTACGTTGGTTTATAAGCTGAAACCATCTATATGTAGAACTGTAGAAAAGAAAAGTGAAGACAGTCCAATATATAGGTAATTAATATTGATAGAGTTTTCTCCGCAATGGACTGGAATAATTATTCCTTACAACTACATCAAAAGTAGAGGTACGACTATAGGTTTGGAAGCCAACAATTAACAGTAATGTTATAGCAACACAAGCTTGCTGAAGCAAGGCTTCAGGAAAGACTATGCTGCACTGGTCCACATGGAAAGGTAATCTCCGCAGCTCTAGGGAAAAGAATGCTTTCTGTTTTTGAATGGGAGGTTTGTGTTAATCGACATAAGTACTGGATGACCAAAGTATTCACAAGAGACAAAAATAAATTGCACAGGTCAACACAAGTGATTTAAGCTGAACAGGAGTGAGGATATCCAAAAACTCAAACTTGAGAGCACAGCAATCAGAAATTTGTTCCATTTTTGCAGCTACATTTCTTGTTCAGCAGTATAGGAAGCAAGTCTCTCCATTCCTGAGAGCATGCTGCATCCTCCTAAGGACAAGACAGGAAGGAAGGAGACTCCTACACTCTGCCTGCACCGGCCTCTCCCAGGGCTTCCTCTACATCTTTCAAGCTTACTGAGTGACTCGGAAGCGTTGTCACAAAGCATTCAAACCCAGCCCACAAAACGCAATGCTGCTCCGCACCCATGGTCAGATATATCCCGTCACAACAATGTGCTTCTGGAAGACTGAACTGAGTAGCAGCCCCTATGCGTGTGGCAAAACTTCCTCTTGTCCCACAGTCCCCTTGTCCCCTTGCCCCCTTCCTCTTCCCCACAACCAGCTTCCCTGGTTGCACACAAAGTAGCAACTAGTCATATTCAGTTTTCAAGCTGTAATATTTAAACGTCCTTTTCTTCCTTTAAACTCCAGAGTAGAGACCACAAAATAACCATCTCCAGGTCTGGGTTGGGACAAACCTCTGCCTTGAATTAATACATGCTTTGCTTCCAGAGGCGGTGCCTAAGCTAGTCCAAATCTTCCTAAGGCCCATTTCGTCATAGCCTGCTGCTTCTTCTCCCTTCATATTTAATGGACCCCCAAGAGAAAATCCCCATTCACACTCTCCATGACCTTGCTGCTACAGCTGCAGGCAGGATCCCCCATTCTCCCCATGGGGTAGGAGACAAGTTGACCTCACCCCCTTTCTGCCCTCCACCATGTATTGCTTTAGCTCCACTTTCCCACAGTGATCCTTCTGGTGCTGTTGGCTCCGGCTCAGAGTGCAGGTTTTTGAGGTTACCGCACGATCCTGTCTAAATATGGAATGGCAGCTCCTAGGCAGCACCATTGCGATGCCATGGGCACACACCATATGAAGATAGAGAAGAACTGGAAAAAGAAGTGACCAGAAAATCCAGCAGCCAAGGCAGCCTTCAAGACCTAGAAAAGTTTTTTTCAAATTACAAGGGAGAAAGTGCTGCTCCTCATTTAACTTTCCCTTCCTCGATTCTTCTCCAGATCTGTTGTTTTCACTGATGTTCATCCCTCACCACCCTAGCCCCTCTCTGTCCCCCCAGCCCAGCCCAACCCGTGCTTACCTGAGGGGTATGCGGATCGCAATGATTCTGTCAATGGCAATAGCAAGGAGGCTGAAGATCGAACTCTGAGTCAAGACAAGGACGAAGCAGGCAATGAAAAGGCAGCCATAGAAGAAGGCACAGAAGCCAGTGCTGATGGTGATGGCAAAGGGGATTGCCAGCACGCCCACGGCAATGTCAGCAGCAGCCAGGGACACCACAAAATAGTTGGTGACGTTCTGCAAGTTGCTGTTCAAATAGACTGCCCAGCAGACCAGGATGTTCCCCAGGATGGCCAGCACCGCAATGACCAGTTCCAGGATGATGTAAGCTACATCTGAGAGGAAGTCTTCTTTCCCACGTACTAGCATGGTGAGAGCAACCAGGCCAACGTGAGAACGTGCCAGAAAAGCTCAGCGTTCATATCTGCAGAGCACTGAACAGCCAAGACACCTCAAAGCTGCCTGGGGTCTGAAGAGCACTCAGCTGCCAGTCGGTGAAGGTTGCTCACATGCACCCTTTTCTCTCCATAGCTGTTCAAGATCTTTACAGTAACACGTGTCAAGAAAAAAACCCAGGGCTTGCCAACTCCAACAAAGTGGATTAACCAGATGCAGAATAATTCAAACTCCAGAAGATGAATAGGCAGGAGAATATCTCACGTAGACATACACTGCTCCCCAGGCCACAAAGTCCAGCAGGCAACACCACACAGAACGTGTACTATATGCCAGTGTCACATCGGCTGTGACTTTTTGTTTCCTGTTGACAATCACACTGCTAGTCATGGCTTCCTGTCATACAGATACCTACTAGCAACATCCTCTGGTTCTCTTTTTCACCTTTTCCCCCTAGGACTTGGGAAATATTCTCTTCAGCTGAAGCAAATATTCAACTTCTTCACTTGTAGTTTCCTTTAAAAAAAAAAACAAAAACAAACACCAACCACATACACTGAGTAATCAGCTCTACGGAGGAGATGGAAAAAACAAAATCTCATTAAAGTGGCACATTAAATTGATAACGGATATTAAACAGACCTAGAAGAATACATCATTGGCAAAAATCTCACATTTTGTCTATCCTGAAAGCTGCAGGGCCAAACTCAAGGTTCAGGAAGGCAGTATTTCACAGTGGAGATGAGAAACAAGGGACGTTTTGTTTTCGAGGCTACCAACTGAGCTGGCACTTCAGCAGCTGCTCAGTAGTCTGCTCTGAAACACAAGAGCCCCACTAATTACGCCTTGGCAAGCGCTGTGGCTGCACAGAGGAAAGGTGGAGGAGCCTTTTTACATACACCTGTCTCCCTCTGATCACAAACACAAGACTTGAGCCATCACATGCTGCCCACCCTCACGTACTTTGCCACAAAAGCATGTTGCATCAATATGCTGCTCTGTGATGACATGAACCTTTGTTCATAAAGGGGTTATGTTGCTGGCACATGTGGTCACCACTCTGTTGCCATACCCAGTCTTTCCTTCAAGTGCACAAATACTGGAACATGATTAGTGGCAGGGAGAATAATTCGAAGTAGGTCAGACAGTGACATCTTTGAGGACTTTCCTGCTAAGCATGCACACTCTCTGCAAGGGTCTCTGCAGGTTCCCCTCCTGCAACACCATCATTTTTGTTCACATAAATCTTTATCCTATAAGCAACCCATTTATTTGTTATACTTGCATTGTCCATAGCATTTGTTGCATCCACAGATTCAGGTCAGTATCATTCTTCAACTACAACCACCCAGAAGCACATCCACCAAGATACACCTCTCCCAGAAACACACAGATAGGCACAATGCCAACGACATCTCTCAAGTATACATTCATGTTCCTGCAATATCATGCACACAAATCTGGGACTAAAGTTGGTGCCGCTTGCAAGGAAACAGTTCCCGCCATTTCATGTGAACAGATACACAATATCTACATGCTTACATGCCTCGCACACACACTAATCTTGCAGGTCACCTCGTACCTCTGCTTTCAGACATGGGTGCATTTAGTTTCAGCTAAAAATACAGCAATGGAGAATACAGTTCCCTGAGCTTCGTGCCACAGTCAAGAAAGAATTGTTTGCTGTCCCACCCTGTCACTTCCAGAGTGGGTTTTAAACCTTATTTAGCAAGCTTTAGCGTTAATATTTTCTCATTAATTTAAGAAAACAGCTACTTGAAACATCAGAGGGCCGAGGGAGAGAGAGACATAGCATTAACTGATAAATCATTTGAGCTCAGTTTCAGATGCAACACGAATCTCCAAAACAAAAGATTTTTGGGACCCCATCCACAGGTGGTCTGGTGTGGTCTAACCCAGCAGGGTTTCATGCCTTCACAGTTCACTCTGTTTTAAAGTCAGAAACCTAATTTCTCAGGATAAAATAAAAGGGTAAAGACAGTGATAATAAAAGAAAATATGATTAACTTGTGATTCACATCTGATCTCAGGAATATAATCTAATTTTAGACCTTTCATTGATTTAGAGTTCTATTGCTAATGCTGCATTTGAAAGGAAAGTGAATGATTCTTGGTGGTTTGGATGTGCTTCAGAAACCTAGCTTTTTCTCCACTTTCAGCAATCTTGTGTATGTGTTTTGCTTGGTTTGTGTGGAAGAAATCAACAGAAAAGATTAGTTTGTGAACTAGCTATTAAGAGGAAGATAAAGATCATCCATTTAATCTTTTCTAAAGAACAAAAAACCCCAAGATGTCTCTATATTGTCCATCTTCCTTTAGCAAAAACACCTGTTTTCCACTGACCTCCTAAAGATTGCTTCTACTTTCTTGAATTTCAGGGATGTCGGTGATATGCTTCTACATCACTCTGCTAGCATCTGATTGTCCATTACAAATCCCAATAGGTTTGTTTCAAAGCAGTGATACTGAAAACTAAACACCTCCCCCAGCCTGACTTCCAGGGAAGGGGATTAGAATTAATATAAGATAGAAATAAAGAAAATCTGGAGGGAGAGAAAACAGAAAGGGCAAGATGAAAAATAAACAATGCTTTGTGCATGTATGCGTGCAAGAAAGGGGAAAAAAAGGCAGGAAAAAGATGGCAGGAGAAAAAAAACCCAACCAAACAAGGGAAGCAGTGGGCAAAATGGGCCTGTAAGAGAAAGACAGTGTGTGTGCCTGTCAGATGTACGACACACAGCTGTGCCTGAAGGCCCTCAAGCGGGGGCAAGCTCCCTGTCCCTTAGCATCACAGCAGCAGAGATGGCGACAGGGTAATACTCTGGCAATGGAGGGGGAGTGTATGTGTCCTCACTTCCTAACATGCTCACATACTGCCATGCAGGTCAAGCTCATGACCAAACTCCAGTGTCAGGACAAGATTAGAAAAATTTAACAAATTACTATGACACACTTGGGCCAAAACTACTGCTATGTAAAATAAAATCACCATAAACACCCCCACAAGCTAGTCTGAGATGAAGTCAAAAGAACTGAAGAAATTGCTTTTTGAAAGGAGCCAGCGTGAGAACTGGTCACGTTAATCCTGATACTGAGAGGATTTACTTAGAGTCCTGCTATGTTGCTCTTCCACCTCATGTTCTTACCACATACACCTCAGTGAAGAGGATCAAAATGAAATTACTGGGATATTCTTCCCCATTTTAGCAGGATTATGATCCCAGATGCATTTTGTTTAACCTGACTCATCTCAAACTCATTTTCAAACAGGACATGGAGGGAAGTAACAAACCTACGCTGTGGAGGTCCGTTCCCCCCCCTTAATCGTTAAACACAAGACAAAGCTGGAATTAGCTACAGCTCTGCACATATCCTGAAAAAGCACAATGCTGGAATGTGAAGTTTAATGACCACATCACATACTGTCTTCTGGCACAACAGAGTTTTTAACCTTCTACTTCAACTGTTTGTTTCATGGTCTGATGTTAACTTTGAATTTTTTATCTTTGAATTTGTTTGGTCCCTTGTTTCCCATCCCCCTTCACAAACAGTGGCCTGAATCGTCAACCCAAGCACTAGCCATTTATTCTGAAGCAATCTGTGAGATGTTATGTCCAGAAGAGGACAACGTGTCCTTCCACCCCTCTCTGCTCCCAGATGGACCGGAAAACACTTAGAGAGTTCTGCAAAGCCAGCACATCTCAGAAGACAAATGACCGGAGCTGAGCAGGTGTCCCAGCCACGACAAAACATTTTGTGTCTGCTTCAGCACTGGTGCTTCTGCAGTAGCCACAGACATTAGAAAAAGCAATTATTAGTCACACAACCCCAGTACATCAGAGGCCTTACCTGCTACTTACAGAAGGTGCCACAACCCAGGAGGTTCCCCTGTTCGACCCGAACTCACCCATCTCACCTCATTCATCTCTCGCAGTGAAAGCTATAGCTTTCACTCAACATGACAACAAGACATTAACCGTAGCAGTATTTGCAACTTGCTTTAAAACAAGAACAGGCCCAGTCTTTCTGCTCATATGGCTAGAAATTTATTGCACAGGGACAAAATGAAATACAGATCACCTAGAGAAGAAGACATATATCCAGAGGCAATGCAAAATTTATTATAGAATCATCTACTTCATGCAAGACCCAAAAGTTCAGCAAGCAGCTCTGACAAGAGAAAATTAATTAACAACCTGCTTTACTCACTGGAGAAGTATATATTTAACATCTCAGGCCCTTGAGGGATCAATATTGCAAGCTTCTTGAAGCTTAGGAAAAATAACCTGTATCACACAACCTGCTGGACAGCTACAATTAGTATTTCTTCTTAAGCCTGCGTTTTATTTTGTTAATTGGATTAATTCTTTCTTGATACCCTGGGCTATGTTCCGGCCTTTTCCCATTATTAAATAAACCTTTCTTGCCACTCACAAACCTGTAAAGCTGTTGCTCTGTTCGTTTTTAGTGACTTGGAACACTCTGTTCTCTCTCATATTTCAGCCCCAATGAAAAACTGCTCCTTGAAAATTCAATAAAGCATCTGAACAGCATGTTCCCATGAAGCAATTCACCACTGGAGCCTAAGCAAGCTTTTGTTTGGCATCTCCAGTTGGCTTTGGACTAAGGTGTTGCCCCTTCTCTCTCCTGAGTGCCAAAAGCATTGAGGTGAGCCCTTGGCCAGTGTTTGGTTCAAATCACCCACCTCAAACAAGCTCATTTCCTGCTCTCGGACCCTTCAGGATGAGTTCAGGTATCCCAGTTTTATATGCCCGTGCTCTGTCACACTGGCACAGAGAAGACACGCTCTCTGCTCCATGTGCCAGGCTGACATATATGACAATGCCTGTGATACTTCAGTTTGACAGCTACTCTCAGACATTAGCAAAATCTCCAGGGGATCAGCAGCCCTCAGGGCACCCAAGACAGTCTATGGACACGTAAGTGACAGG